ATAGCAAGTTAGAAGATGATTCTGGCTGGAGTGCCGGAATTTGGAACATGTTAAGATTGTCAGGGCGCAGCAATCATATTGATCCGCTGTGTTGAAGTCCGAAGAATGATGTTCTGGCACGTTTCTGGATCGTCAGGACGCAACAATCACATGGACTCGAGGCGTTGAAGTCCAAGGAATTTTGTGTCGGCGCGGTTGAGGACTCCCAAACGGTGATCTTCCAGCGGAACGCTTCCTGCAGTGACGAGGGAACTTGGAGGGAGGGTTTACTGCAACATCGTTGATGCGCCCCGGATTTACACTGCAGTGGTCCCTCTCCCTCCACCCCTTCCTCCTCTTCCTCCTCCTCTTCCTCCTCATCATCATCATCAGCATCATCAGCATCATCATCATCATCATCATCATCATCATCATCATCATCATCATCATCATCATCATCATCGTCATCGTCATCGTCATCATCATCATCATCATCATCATCATCATCATCATCATCATCATCATCATCATCATCATCATCATCATCATCATCATCATCATCATCATCATCATCATCATCATCATCATCATCATCATCATCATCATCATCATCATCATCATCATCATCATCATCATCATCGCTTCACTCCCAATGTCTGTTGCCCCTCCTCCGCCCTCGCCCTCCTCCGCCTCCTCCTCATCCTCCTTTCCTCGTCCTCCTCCTCCTCCTTATCATCCTGCTTCTCCCTCTCCTCCTCCTCAATATCCTCCTCGTCCTCCTCCGCATCCTCCTCCTCCGCCTCCTCCTCCTCGTCCTCCCGCACATCTCCTCCTCCTCCTCCTCCTCCTCCTCGTCCCTCCTTCGCCTGCCCCTGCCCCGTCTCTCCGCCTCCCACTCCCCCTCTCGTCCCGCGGCGCCAGCTCGGGTCGAGCCCCCCGCTTGCCCCTCCGAGTCCGCGCCACCGAGTCCTGCCCGCTCCGTCCCTCCGCGCCCCTCTGGCCTCTCCTCGGTGGTGGCACGAGCCGCGATGGAGGCGGCAGTGGTGAGGCGCGCGGCGCTGCCGCCCGAACCTCACGGCCGCTGCGCGGCGCGCCCACTACGGTCGGGAACTTTTGCGTAGCGTGTCGCGACGCGGCCCGGCGACACGCGATGCCCTGCGAGCGGATAGCGTGCCGCTCCTCTCCGTGGGGCGGGAAGTTGGGAAGGGCCTGGGACGATGATGCCTGGAGAGCGGGCCGTGCCTGTCGTGTCGCACCGGAGCGCGGTTGGCCAGAACCGGTGACGCGACACGCCAGGCCGACGTTCCCGACCGCGTCGCCGTGCTGACGCCCGCGCGGTCTCGCGCCTCCTCGGCGCCTTCGCGGAGGTCACCCCAACCGCGGGAGCTCGGCGGCCCCCCGCCCGGGCGCAGATCCAGCGGCCTCGGCGCCGGAAGTGCAGGGTGGGACGGCGCGTCGATCATCCTGACGACGGCGCTGCAGGCGGCAGCGGCGCTTTTTGGTGCCTGCGGCGGCGACTTCGAGCCCGAGGCGGCGGCTGCGGCGGCGGACGAGGACGCGGCGGATCCCCAGACCCCCTCGAGTCATGAAAAATTCACGACGGGAAATTTTTCTATGTTTTCGGCCTCCGGGGGCCCTTACCGGCCCTCGGGACCGTCAAAAAACGACTCGGGGTGAAAAACAGGTCCCGGTGAATAGGTCTGGACCTCTGGGGGTCGCGTCATGAAAAAATCATGACGTCGGGGGTCTGGGTCAGCTGCGCGCCGACATTCCCGCATGGACCGCAGGCTGCGGTGATGCGGCATGGCGCGATAACTGGCTCGCCAGGGCGCACAGCCTCGTCGCGGACCTCCGCTCGGCCCGCGGCGTCGATCGCGGCGGCGCGGTGGACGCCCCCTCGCCAGTGCGCACGGGAGCGACCGCGGTGCCGCTGACAGTGCCGGCCCGTGGGCCCTGCCGGGGGGGGACTGCCCTGCCGCCGGGTGCAGCCGCTCCTGGGTGAGTTCCTGACGGAGCCTCCCCTGCCGAAGCGAGCTGGGAGGGCAAGCGCAGGGCGAGCGCGGCTCCTCCGCAGTGCCGATGCTCTCCGTGGCGCTGCCGGGAGCGCGGCGGGGGCTCGCCCCGTGGGCCTGCCGGCAGCAACAAGGCAGCGAGGAGACGCTGAGAGTGGTGGGTTTTATATTGCACGTGTGGGGGGCATCGCCATCGGGCCAGCGGTTCCGACACCGCCAGCGCCATTGGCTCCGTCGTCGTCTCGTTCTGGAGCTGCACGTCTCGTGCGCGTGGTGGTCGTGATTGCGGACCGGGTGTAGGCTGTCTGTTGCTGATCAGCTCCTTCTCAATATTGGCATACGTCTTGGCCTTGTGGATGCTGTTCTCGTGCTGCTGCTGGTCTTGCTTCAACTGTGAAGCCAACTTTCTAAGTTCGGCTACCTTGGATGTGTTCCGTGTGCCTGCTTCGAGAGGAGTGGCTCCAGACCTGCCTTTGTGTACGAAGTCGTCGTGGCAAGCTCCTGCTAGGCTGTCGATCAAGGACTGGTTCTCTCGTGTGGTGTGTATGCTGTGTGGTCTGGGTTGCTGCCGAAGCTGGGTGGCGGTACGCAGCCATTCTTCTTCGTTGGCGTGGTTGGTGGTTGTTTTGGATTGGGTCTTGGAGTGGCATTATTCTCTGCTGTTTCGGCATGTGCGGCTGCTGTGTCGAGTATGGTGTGGTCGGCGCTGATCGGCAATAGGTGTCGCCTTTTTGCTGCTGGTAGTATTGTGGCTGTGCTGCGTAGGTCGGCCCCTTCTGAACTGGAAGGGCGTATTCGCCGTGCCCCACAGGCTGCCAGAATGGTACCTTGCCGTTGCTGTAGAAGTGCCGCTGTTGGTGTCTCCCCTTGTCTTTGCCTCTGGCCTGGGGGGTCTGTGTGTGGCCGGCCGTACACTGTGTCGGCTGGCTGTCTTGGTGGTTGTTGTGCGCTGCGATGTTGGTTAAGCAGAGGCTGTGCTGCTTGGAGCTGCCGGTAGGTTGGTTGGTCGAGCAAGGTTCGCACTGAGGCTACCCGTAATAATGTGGGTGCAGCTGCTCGTTGTTCTCCCTCCCTGCGGTGCCAGGCAGGGTCGAGAGATGTCGACGGAGTCGTGGTGCTATTGCTTGCAAAATGCAGCAGCCGCAAGCCGAACTGGCAACAGAAGTGGTGCCAGTTGTCTGTGCGCACGAGGTCGATGTCGTCGCCGAGGTGGCGCGTGCTGCCGTACGTGGTGGCACAAGATGGTGCAGCGCAACGCCGAATGAGAGGAAGGAATCAAGAAAATGTAATGGGCGTAAGGGATGGAAGGGTGGACAGGGCCGCCCCGGCTGCGGGAGGGGCTCGTGCGCACCCGCCCGTTGCCACTTCGGGGCGGAGAGGGGGGGGGACGCCTCTCAGCCCAGGGGGGAGGAGGAGGAGGAGGAGGAGGAGGAGGAGGAGGAGGAGGAGGAGGAGGAGGAGGAGGAGGAGGAGGAGGAGCAGGAGGAGGACGAGGAGTGGAATGATCGGGCTTTCACGATCGTGGCTGGCCCCCCTGGGGCTGGCGAGCTGCCACGGGCGTCCGGGCCCGGGGCTCTGTGGTCCTCCTGCTCTGCCTCCTTCCCTTCTTCGACCTCCTCCTCCTCCTCCGCCTCCTCCTCCTCCTCCTCCTTCTCTTCTTCGTCCTCCTCCCCTCCTCCTCTCCTCCTCCCCCCCTCCTCCTCCTCCTCCTCCTCCTCCTCCTCCCCCTCCTCCTCCTCCTCCTCCTCCCCCTCCTCCTCCTCCTCCTCCTCCTCGTCTCCGCCGCGTTCCACCCTTTCCCTTTCCCTCCCCTGGCAACCCCACCCCCACGTCCTGTCCCTCGTTCCCTTCCCGCCCGTCCCCTCGATCCTCTCCCCGTCCCCATCCCCATACCATCCCCCCCTTCGCTGTATACAAGGATCGTCAAGAACCAACACCGGCCCCAGCACTATTCTTGGGCTTCGGAGCTTGGGAAGATGTCCCTCCCGGTGCCACCGCAGGGCAACTGGCGAATGAGGAAGCTGCGTCCCCCCGCCTGTAGCTCCTCGGGGGATGGTGCACCGTCGTGCGTTGGACTGCGCTGACGTGCGAGCGGCGCTGACATGCGAAATTGGCTCAGATGGAATGCGCTGGTTGGGACGAGCTGAGCTCAGCTGGTCTGGGCTGGACAGAACTTCGCGGAGCTGGAACCAGCTGGGCCGAAGTAAGCTGTGAGCTAACATGAGCTGGACTGGGCCACGCTAGGTTTGGCTGGGCTGGGCAAAACCACTATGGACTGGGCAGGACTTAGGCGAGATGGGTTGGATTGACCTTGGCCGAGCTGGGCTGAACAGGACAGGGCTCGACTGAACTTAGTTGGCCTGGACTTGACACTTCAGAGCTTTACTGAGCTCGGCTGATTGGGCTGCCTGTCTCGACACACCCCTCCTGGGAAGCCCGGGCGCGGATATCTCTAGGAGTTGTGACCCCAACAGGGGAGGCCTCAGTGTGGTGCCTGCTAGCGTTTCGTGGTTCTGGCATTCTAGATAAATCCACGTCCCCAGCTGTGCGTTCTACCCAACAAGGCACAAGAATCGCATGCCGAACGCTCCCGTGAAACGCCTCTGGTCGACCCCACCACGAGAGGCTGAAATGAGGTGCCTTCTAGCCTTTGATTGTCATGGGGCTTACGGAAGACACACATACGTCCCCAACTGTCTGTTCGATCCCAACAGAAACTCAGCAATTTCGTTCCGAACCCTGCCGTGAGACACCCCATGGTCGACCTCCTCTTTCACGGCCCAAGAGCGGTGCCTGCTAGCTGTTGGTGGGCATGGGGCTCTTCAGAGAAACGTACATGTGTATATACAGATGTATGGCCCCACATCGGCTTTCGGCCCCAGAGGTCCCTCCACTTACGTCCAGGAAACTCTTATGCAGCACCCATTGTCGCCCCCCGGCAAGCCGGAGTGCATTGTCTACTAGCGTTTGGTGGCGATGAGGCTGTCACGATACATGCATCGGCATCTCTGACATTTGGAGACGATGAGGCTCTCGAAGGAGACGCATGCACTTCGATCCCGAAATGTGTTATACCCTAGAAGTGATACAAATTTCCTCCCGAATGTTTTTGTCAAACACCTCTGGTGAATCCCCCTTCCGATAGGGAGGCCAATGAATGTCTAGGAACCACGGTCGGAGCGGACATGCGTGCTGGATGAGAGCGGGTGCGTATGAGTCGGTGCGAGTGGGTGGGACATATGGATAAAGATGGGGTGCTATGTGTGCGAGTGTGAGCAAACGCGAAAGAGTATAAATGTGAGAAAGATGAACAGGAGAGGAAGGGACAGAGAGAGAGAGAAAGAGAGGGAGCGGGGAGAGGGAGAGAGAGGCCAATCTTGTGAGAATCTGTGCGACTGACTGGGTGTGTGAGCGGACGCGTGCGTGCGTTCGGGCGTGGGTGCCACCTGCCCCGAGATCCGACGCCGCCACAAAAAACAGCACCGCAGCGAAAAGCGACTGGAGCCCTGGACCCCACCTCTCTGCGGTACGTCCCGGGCCGGATCCATCTGTGAGCGTTCTGGGGTCGGATCGTTAAAGGCTTAACGACTTCTGCCGTCCTTCGACTCGCGCTGGAGCGGCCGCGAAGTGCTCGAACTTTCCCTGGAGATCTCTGGATTTACCTGGATTTACCCAGATTTATCTAGATTTACCTGGGTTGACCTGGATTTACCTCGATTGATCTACATTTACCTGGGTTTATCTGGCTCGATTCTCACAAGTCGATTGGCGAAAAGTCGACAAGCCCTTAGGGGTCGGAGGCGACAGCGGGGGCAAATAGCCCGGAGGAGAACAGCACATGCGCCCAGTGGGCGACCGCGTGCAGTGCCCGCCCCTGGGCCAGTGCTTCGCCCCTTCCTCGCCTCCGACTGGGGCCCGAGTCCGTGCGAAGACGCCCAGCGTGCAGACGGGTGTCTCGACGCCTGGGTCTCCGAGGGAAGACCCAGACATCCGAGGTCTTGATTTTTCCAGCAGTCGTGTCTTCGCGACGCGAGCGAGCGCGACCGGCGTGGCACGCCCCAGCTCCAAGGCGAAGTGACCACGAAGACAACATCGGATGAACATACATCGGGGATCTCCGAGATCCGGCGACGCTGGAGAATGTCTCGCGAAGATCCGGCAGCTCTGGAGGATGTCTCGCGAGCGCCGAGGCCTTCTCAGAGCGTTCCGCAACGCTCTAAGAGCGCTCTGGACCGCAGTGGAACGGACTTATCCTAGTCCTAGCCCTGTCCGACCGGAGCCTGAATACGGTCGGACCTAGGACAGAAAAACATCCTTCAAGAACATGAGACCCTGCGCTGGCCAAAACACACAAAGGGCACCCTCCCCAGGACGCACAAGAACATCCAACGCACACGACGAACCCCGAGCCGATCTCGATCTGGTGCCTCGGTCACGCCGTGTGGCCGCGATGTTTCCGCTAGAGGACGCAAACACGGCATAAACATGAACTTTTGGCGCTCCGCGCGGATTTCTTGGATCTGCGCCGGACCCCCCTCCCTGGCGCGCGGAGAGCGCCAGCGGCGGCGCCGGAGGCGCCGCTGGGGAGCGCCCAGCGCGAATCCGAGAAATCCGCGCGGAGCGCCAAAAGTTCAGGCTTATGGCGTCTTGTCTTCTTCGGGCATCGCCGCGATGTCTTTGCCACGGAGGCGAGCGCGACTGGCGCGTGGCACGCCGGAAGCTCCTCCTCCAGCTCGGCGCCCCGCCTTGCTGGTGCCATCGGGCAGAGGGCCCCTCTGGCGCCTCGGGCCTGGGCGGGGGTGCGGCCACGGCTCCCCGGGGACCGGGGGGGCGGCTCGAGCAGGAGCTGGGCAGGCTTCGCGCGGGTGCCACCCCTGTGGGTGCCTCCCCCCCCCCCCTTGTGCTTTTGCTGCTGCTTGCCCTGGACGCGTCTCTGTGACGATGTGCTTGCGTGGCGCCGTTTTCCCGTATTGCTGTGGCTGCCGCCATTCCCCCCCCCCCCCGTGGTTGGCGTGCTGATAGCGAGGGACGAGGTCCGATGGAGAGGGTGAGCAAAGACGGAGGATGGAGGCTGAATTTTGGGCTGAGTCGTGCACTGCCTGTGCCCTTGACAAGACCTGGCAAGAGCAAGGGTGATGAAACAAAGGTCTAACGCAGAGCGCGGACTCGGGTAACGGTCTCTGTCTGTGCGCCCGGGGTTCAGGACACGCATCGTTCACGTCGACGTCTGATAGTTGTCAATATGCTCGGCTCAAGGTGCCCCCAACCCCACGACAGCAGATGGAGACGGCTGACGATAGCAACATATGCTGTGACTGTTACAACTGGCGTTGCACGGTCCAAGTGCGTATGCACTGACGCCCTGGACAGTTGGAACCACGGCGGAGTTTGTATTTTCTGTTAGCTGCCAGCGGTCATAACCTGCAGCGCTTAGTGCCTGCATGGTTCGTGCGGACATCACCCCGACGTGCACACGACCTCCCGATCAAGCGGCAAGGACCAACAGACTCAGCACTCTGAGCATACTAGAGCTGCCACACGCAAGCAAGCGCCGACGGGGGAGGACAGCGAAAGGGAGGACGCCGATCGCAGAGGTCTGCTCACGGCTTCACCTTGTCCAGCTTGTGTATGGTGATTAGGCCATGCGTGACCAGCAGACTGGAAGCCATCGTTGGCAGGCCCCCCATGAAGACCAGGCCCAGCGCGACGAGGCAAAAGCTCATGACCATCTTCGAAGCGGCCTGTTCCAAGTACCCCTCTACTGCGTCGACCTTAGCCGCCCCGATACGAAACACGCAACCCGTAGCATGTTGACACGGAGCTCGGGACGGATGCTGATGACGGTCGCGTGGCGTTCGCCGAATCGTGGCCAAACGCCCCCAGGACCTAATTACCTTCACTCAGCGTGCTGACACGGACGCTTGGAGCACGGCACGTGCTGCGTTTCAAAACGGGCGCACCAGGGCAGCTGACTACCTACCAAACCACCCCAACCCAACCCGAAGACCCGAATTTGACCCCAATTTCGGGTTGGGGGGGGGGTACGGATCCCATGTGTTTTCTCAACGTTCCCCGACCCCCCCCCACTGGAAATCGAGGATAAATTTGGGCCTTCGGGTTGTGTTGGGGTGGTTTGGTGGGTGGTGAGCAGCTGAGGCGCCGACCATCTCGTCCTCCCGCAGCGCCACGAGCACGGGCGCGAGCAGCACGGGCAGCAGCAGCCGCCAGCGCCCCTGCGACGCCGCGCAGGGCAGCAGCGCCAGGAAGGCCAGCAGCTCCAGCGACAGGGCGCCTCGCGGCCACGAGCGAGCGGCGGGCCCCCGAGGGCAAACGACCCTCGAGGCCCGGCGGCTGCACGCGCAGGGAGCGACCCGAGGGCACGAGTGCCCGATCGGGTGCTCTCGGCTCTCGGCGGCCGCGGGCAGGGCCGGACCCAAAAGCGTGCAGAGCTCAGCGCCGGTGGCCCTTCGACCCGGGACCCCGGGCCGCCCCCCGGGCACCACCGCTCCCTCCCGAGCCGCTCTTCGACGGCCACGGGTCCCCGGGAGCGGCCTCCACGACGCCGCACGCAGCGAAGAGCCTCGGGACCTGCTCCCCCACGGGCCTCCCCGACGGGGTCCCAGCAGGCGGGGTCGGAGGATCGACCGCATCGCCGATGCATCGCCGATGCAGCGACGTCGGTGGAGCATCGGCGACGTCGGCGTCGATCGGGCTCCACATCGAGCCGCATCGCCGATGTATCGAAGGGCGGCGCGATCCTCCGACCTCATCTGCTCCGACCCCATCTGGGAGGCCTAGATTCCCTCTGGACCCCGTTCCCTTCATTACGACGAGAATGATGTTATGATGCGATTGGCTCAGGATGAATCCCATGAATCCCGGATAGCGGCCCTCGTTTCCTAAGCCCGTGTGGGACAATAGGAAATCCCAGATACCCCAGAAATCTTGGAGCGTATCGCTGTCATGACCTCGCCCTCCTCCGGCTCATGGCGAGCCTCTGATGACGTCGTGCTTGGCCCTGCTGGCGGCGCTCAGCTGCAGCAGCACCTGCCAGTGGACCCGCTCGCGCACGTAGACCCTCGCGCCCCGGGCGGCGGCTGCGAGAGCCTCCATGGCGGCCCAGGCCGGCACCGGGCCGCGCCTGGGGGGCCGAGGAACTTCGGCCTTGCAGGGAGCTTCCTACAGGAGGAGCTCGACCACAAGAAACCTCCCACAAGAAAACCCCACCCCTGAGACCCGAGGACGTCCATGGAGTTTTGGTGTGGGGGCGTCACGCTTTCCATCGCAAGACCATCAGAACCCAAGAAACCCAGGGCACCCTGAGGCCCAGGGCGGATTCCTTGGATCTGCGCCCTGTGCGCCAGGGACGGCGCCGGAGGCGCCACCGGGGGGGCGCCCCGTGCCGATGCGCAAAGTCCGGGGGGGGCCTCCGAAAGTTTCTGTGCACGCAGTTTGGTTCCTCTTCGAGCGCCAGGGCGCGGCGAGCACAGCAAGGCAGCAGGCCCAGGCCCGCACGATGCCCGCCGCAGACCTGACGAGGTCGACCATGCCGCTGCGCTGGAGGAACCGGGCCAAGGGGGAGTCCGCCACCGCGCCCCAGTTCTCCGACGGTATGCTCCTGTCCTTCAGTCCGCGCGCTCTTCCTCGATATGGGCTCCGTTTTCGGGCCGCTTCGTTGGGGACCATCAAGGACGGATCCGGGGCGACGAACCGAGCCCCTGGGAAGGGCGCAGGACCTATGGGGTCACGCGTTGCAACAAAAGCACATCGTCGGATGTCTGGGGCCTTCTGCGGTTCGCGTGTGTATGTGTGTGTGTGACTTGTGTGTGTGTGTGTGTGACTTGTGTGTGCGCGTGTGTGCGTGACATGTGTGTGTGTGTGTGTGTGTGTGTGAATGTGTGTGTGTGTGTGTGCGTGTGCGTCGGAGGCGAGGGGGTGAGATCGCAGTGGAACGGAGCGCCCCCCACGGGGAAACCGCTTGCGGCTCCGGGTTCCCGTCGCGCAGGCGGGCGAGGGGAAGCTGCGCGGGCGCGCGGGAGGAGAGATGCCGCCGTGGCTATAGGAGCTGGTGGTCCGCTCCCCTCTCTGCCCCAGCGCGCGGTGGCGGGGGGTCCCGTCGATGGCGCGTCGGAGTCCCGTCGGTGTCCCGTTGGTGGCGCGGCGGTGTCCCGTCGGAGGCGCGGCGGTGTCCCGTCGGTGGCGCGGCGGTGAGGTCGATGGCGAGATCTGTTGGGAGATCGACTGTGAGATCTGTTGTGAGATCGATGACGAGACCTGTTTTGAGATTGTGAGATCGATCGTGAGTTCGATTGTCACTTCATATCGATGGGAAGATCGTTTGGGAGATCGATTGTGAGATCTCTTATGAGATCGACTGCGATATCGATAACGACTTCGATTGTCAAATCGATCGTGGGATCGATTGTGAACTCGATAGTGCGGTCTGATGTGAGAACGATCGTGAGATCTGTTGTGAGATAGATCGCTCGTGAGATCTGTTGTGAGATCGATCGTGAGATCTGTTGTGAGATCGCTCGTGAGATCTATAGTGGGATCGACAGCGAGATCGACAGTGAGATCGATAGTGAGATCGATTGTGAGATCACTTGTGATATCGATGGTGAAATCGCTGCTAAGATCGATAGTGAGATCGCTTGTAAGATCGATTGTGAATTCGCTTGTGAAACCGATAATGTGAGCGATAGTGAGATCGATAGTGGAATAGGTAGTGAGATCGATCGTGGGAGCTGCTGTGAGACCAATACTGAAATCGATTGTAAGATCGATACTGAGATCGGTAGTGAGATCGATTGTAAGATCGAACGTGAAATCGATGATGATCTCGATTGTGAGATCGATAGTGAGACCGTCACTGGTAACTGTTGTGAGATCGATCGTGAGACCGCTTAGGAGATCGATCGTGAATTCCATTGCCATTTCGATAGTGAGAGCGATAGTGAGATAGATTGCTCGTGAGATCTGTTGTGGGATCGATCGTGAGATCTGTTGTGAGATCGATCGTGAGATCTGTTGTGAGATCGCTCGTGAGATCTATAGTGGGATCGACAGCGAGATCGACAGTGAGATCGATAGTGAGATCGATTGTGAGATCACTTGTGATATCGATTGTGAATTCGCTTGTGAAACCGATAATGAGAGCGATAGTGAGATCGATAGTGGAATAGGTAGTGAGATCGATCGTGGGAGCTGCTGTGAGACCAATACTGAAATCGATTGTAAGATCGATACTGAGATCGGTAGTGAGATCGATTGTAAGATCGAAAGTGAAATCGATGATAATCTCGATTGTGAGATCGATAGTGAGACCGTCACTGATAACTGTTGTGAGATCGATCGTGAGACCGCTTGGGAGATCGATCGTGAATTCGATTGCCATTTCGATAGTGAGAGCGATAGTGAGATCGATCGTGAGATCGCTTGTGAGATCGACCGTGAGATCTGCTGTGCGATCGATAATATGTTGTGAGATCGATGGTGAGATCACTCGTGAGATCTATAGTGAGATGGACAGTGAGATCGACTGAGATCGATTGTGAGGCGGATTGTGATTTCGATGATGAGATCGCGCGCGAGATCGATAGTGAGATCGAACGTGACATCGATAGTGAGTTCGACTGTCAGATCGATGGTAAGATCGGTTGTGATATCGAAAAGGAAGTATGTTGTGAGATCGATCGTGAGATCGATTGTGAGATCGATCGTAAGATCTGTTGTGAGATCGCTACTGGGATCGATTGTGAGATTGCTAGTGAGTTCGACTCTGATTTCGATGGTGAGATCGATTTGGATATCGATCGTGAGATCGCTTGTGAGATCGAAAATGAGTCCGATTGTCAAATCGATTGTGAGATCGACTGTGATATCGATAGTGAGACCCGTTGTGAGATCGATCGTTAGGTCGATTAAGAGATCGGTCATGAGATCTGTTGTGAGATCGAGAGTTTGATCGATGTGAGATCGATTGAATGAAACGTTGGTTCCCCCTCCCGACGCAAACCTCCATATCACCCGAAACATGGCCACCGCATGAGGGATCGGCCGGCCGCTTGCGCGCTGCTCCCAATGGAGCTGCAGGATGAGTTGGTACTCGATCCGTGTCGATGACATTGGATCGCCCTTGTGACTCTTTGACCCGGCCACGTGCTCTCAAAAACTGTGTGAGTGTGTGTGTGTGTGTGTCTGCTCTGTGTGTGCGTGTTAGTGTCGGGCCTTCTGTTTTTCAGTAGGTTCTGCTGCTTGCGCATCACTTTAGGTAGGGCCCCTGGAGCATAGAGCCCAACATGCGTTTTTTTCACAGGAGTCTACTGGCCATCGCTCGGACGTTCATTCCCTGTTTTTTGGGGGGGGGTCGTGCGTGGCTTTTTCGCCAAATGATCGAGGATGCTCCTCGATGGTCCTCGCCGGAGGAAAAATGCAGACGTCCGAGCGATGCCGAGTCTATGCGCGTTTTGCCGTCCGAACAACGACAAGATGCCAATCATATAGCTTCGGGTACGGGCCCCCATGGCATCTACCTTCCCTGAGTGCCCCCCCCGCCACCCTCTGGGTCTCACCTTCCTTCCCCAAGCGCCCGCCCAAGCACGGCGGATTCGCGCGGTGGCGGAATGTGATAACCACCCGCCGCAAAAAGCACAAGGAGCAACACTATGGCAATTGGTCTCGGCGACGACACCGCACGGAACGATCTCCCGATCGCCCGTATCACACTCGACTTCACCGAACCGATCCCCGGGTCGCCGCTCCGCCAATCCGTATCCACATGCAGCCCCAGCTGCACCGTGGCCCCGAGGCCAAGCAATGCGCCACAGGTTACGATGAAGCAGATCATCTCGTACACGTCCGAATTGCCAGACAACTTTTCAGCCACCTTGACCAGGCTGGTCACGGTGCCGTCGGCTTTCTGATTTGCCCGCAGCATGTCGCCTGTCGCGCGCCGGGCCTGCTTGTCCTTGGGGTCCAGCAGTTGGATCGACGCCAGGACCTCGGCGAGCATGAGCATGACGAACACCCAAGCTGGCGGCACGCAATCGGCAGCCTCCTCGGAATCGACATTGTCCGCAGCGGCCCCAGCCCCTGCGGCGGTGCCGTCTGCTGGCGTCCGCCCTTGCTCGCCAGCTCCCGCTGCGGCTGCCGGCGCCGCCTTGGCCTTGGCACTGGGTTTGCCCTTCTTCTCGTCCTTGGGCGTTGCGTCTGGAGTTCCAGGCGGCGGTTGCGTCTCCTGGGCCTTCCGCCTGGCGGTCTGGGCACGAATGAGGCTGCCAAACTTGACGTGCATGAGGATGGGGAACAGCGCCAGCACGCCGCACAAGTCCGCGTAGCGGCCAAGCAGGGTCGCTACGGCCGTGGCATTCACCATCCCGTGGAGCGCGCGTTGGCTTGCTGGCAGCGGCCTGGACTGGTTGGCCGGATAGCGGTCGACTGACCGCGAGGACCCACGCTTGGGCCAAACAGGCTATGGGAGCAGAGCAAAACCTGCATGGATCGGCACGCCGCCAGCCAGAGACACGGCGGCTCCAACTGGGCTGCTTGCAGGCCTTGGCAGCAGCGCCGAGCGCACATCCGACAATGGACCCAGTGACCCGAAACATCGCTCCAACTCCGAGCCCTGGAACTCATTGCGCCTGAAGCACACCACGGTCCTGAGCGGGACGGCGGTGAGCCGCTGGCCGCGACCGCGGCCAGATGAAGCGCCCGGCGCGCTCGTGATCAACCGCGGCGGGCTGCTGGCAGAGCGGTCGTGGTGCACAGCAGTCGTGGGCGACGGCGTGCCACAGGGTGGAGCGACCGCGAGCAGCCCGAGGTCCGCACGAGGCGCCAGGACCCCGCTGCTCCGAGAGAGAGCCTCGCCTCTCGGACCCGCGCCCGCGATGAGCCGGGGCCGGCGCGCGGGATCGCGCCCTCGCGGCCCGCAGCGAGCGAGAGCGAACCTGCCTGCCTGCGCCCACTGGGCAGCGACCTCCCACGAGAGGACCCCAGCTCCAGCCGAAAGGCGCTGCGTGCAAGCGACACGCGGGGCTCTCGCAGGCCGCCCGCGACGGGGCAGCGCCTCCAGGATCTCAGCCGGGGGTGCCAAGCATCACCTCGGCTCTGCAGGACTTCGTGCGTGAGCAGCTCGATGCACTGCTAGAGGGGCACCCTTGACCAAGAGGCACAGCATCTCCTCCGCAATACATATGTACACATATATGTGTATACATATATGTATTCCGTACCATCCGATCGATTTTAGTATGCCTCGGTGGCGAATAACAGTCTCATGGGTCCTGGTCAAGCTCACTAAGATGGGCACGAAGAGTCCTTCATGAAACACACTGCTCACAATGAAGACGCAACATCGAAGCCCACACTAGCGATGTGGTGTCCACGGGCAGGTCATTGCATGCTGACTTCATTATCCTTGGCCGCAACTTGGCAATGCAGACCTATCCTCTTCTATCCCCTCCGCAGCAGAGAGGGTACATTATCTATCTCTCTCTCTCTATCTCTCTCTCTCTCTCTTTCTCTCCCTCCCTCCGTACGCACCTTACTGTTCGTCGTCCTCCCGCGCTTGCCGATCCTACTTCAGCTGCTCGTCACCACCTTCGCCTCTGGCTGATGCTGTTGCTACTGCTGGTGCCTCTTCTGTCCAAAGTCCTCAAAATAGTCCCGCTGCCACTGCTGCTGCTGCTGTTGCTTCTGCTTCTACCATTGCTCGCTGTCGTGCTTACTGTAATCATCATAAGCCCCTTTTCGACCATAGCGAGTCGCGCGAATGACCGTGCGCATGCACCTCTTCGCTGACAGAACTTCGTGGCCTGCGATGCGCGAAGGTCTGGACCCGCCGAAAGGCGCAGACAGGGGCTGCCCGCCAAGGACATGCCCAACGCACGAAGACGGCGGTCATGCTGTGAACTTTGGTGGGGGCAGCTGCACTCCGTAATGTGAACCTCAAGTTGCAACTGCGGACGCCGACGGGTGACTCCAGCAGAGACAGCCCATTGGTTACGGGCCCCCCGATCGGCGATGAATCGTCGATTGCGGGTCGATTCGCTGCCCCCCTGAGCTTACGACCAGGAGCCGCTGCCCGACGCGTTGCGGCGGCGGCCCCGGCGGCACGCAGTGGCGTGCGAGTGGATAGCTTGCCGCTCCGCTCCGCGGGACGTGGATGGCGTGGGGAGGGGGAGGAGGAGGAGGAGGAGGAGGAGGAGGAGGAGGAGGAGAGGAGGAGGAGGAGGAGGAGGAGAGGAGGAGGAGGAAGAGAAGAGAAGGAGGAGGAGGAGGAGGAGGAGGAGAGGAGGAGGAGGAGGAGGGAGGAGGAGGAGGAGGAGGAGGAGGAGGAGGAGGAGGAGGAGGAGGAGCAGCAGTGGGGATGGGAAAAGCTCGGGACGTGGACGCCTTGTCGCGCCGAGGCGAGGCGGGCCAGAAGCGGCGGCGCGACACGCCACCTGACGCTGCCCCTGGCCCCCTCGCCCCTCCCTGCTCCTCCGACGCCCCCTCGCGGCGTCCACCAGCAGGGAAGGCTGGGCGCGACTTCGTGGGATAGCGATAGATTGGGGGTGTCAGACACGTGCCCTTCTCGGGCCCGTAGGGGCCCCTTCTGGGCTCCCAAGGGCCGCTTCGGGGGCCCCAGGGGCCCCCGTTTCTTGGAAGGAGAAAAAAAACGGCATGAACATAAGCTTTTGGCGCTCAGCGCTGGAGAGCGCTAAAAGCTTCTGTTTATGCCGTTGCTTTCTGCTTCGATTTCGGCAGCCCTCGCTGCCCCCCCCGCCCCCGTGCATCGCCCCCCCCCCACTCGCCATCGCGCGGACGTCCATTCCCCGAACATTCATCGCTCTCGCGCGTGTTTTTGCCCGCTCGATGATCCAGGATGCTCCTCGACGGTCCCCGCCGATAAAGAAGTGCACACGTCCGAGCGAGGCCGAGCCCATTGCTGACTACCTACCAGACCACCCCAACCCGACCCGAAGACCCGCATTTGACCCGAGTTTCGGGTTGGGGGGGGTACGGGTTCCATGTGTTTTTTCGATGTTCCCCGACCCCCCCCCCCACTGGAAATCGAGGATACACCCTGCGAAATGCTTAAGAAATCATGGGTTAAGAAATTCATAGTCTCAGAAATTGAATAAAACCCAGAACTTCTATCACAATCTTGGAAATTACATTAAAACGTTAAGAATAATCGAGACTCTGGACGAAAACTTAGGTTTTCTTAAGCATCGCCTAAGGTGTAAATCTGGATCTTCGGGTTGGGTTGGGGTGGTTTGGTGGGTGGTGAGTTGCGCGCCCTCCGCGAGGGGCGGCCCGCCAGTTCTCCGGGCGGCGCGGCGACCTTCTGCCGCGAGGGCCTCCGCGGGGCCCCCCGAGGCTCCCCTCGGCACTCCGCGGGCGCGGGCACGCGCGAGCGCCCGAAGGGAAAAGAGCACCCTCTCCTCTTCGCCCTGCCTCGCTCCTCCTCCCTCCTCCTCCTCCTCCTCCTCCTCCTCCTCCTCCTCCTCCTCCTCCTCCTCCTCCTCCTCTCCTCCTCGCTCCTCCTCGCTCCTCCTCGCTCCTCCTCCTCCTCCTCCTCCCTCCTCCCTCCTCCCTCCTCCTCCTCCCTCCTCCTCCTCCCTCCTCCCTCCTCCTCCTCCTCCTCCTCCTCCTCCTCCTCCTCCTCCTCCTCCTCCTCCTCCTCCTCCTCCTCCTCCTCCCTCCTCCTCCTCCTCCTCCTCCTCCCTCCTCCCTCCTCCTCCCTCCTCCCTCCTCCCTCCTCCCTCCTCCTCCTCCTCCCTCCTCCTCCTCCTCCCTCCTCCTCCTCCCCTCCTCCTCCTCCTCCTCCTCCTCCTCCTCCTCCTCCTCCTCCCTCCTCCTCATCCTCCCTCCTCCTCCTCCTCCCTCCTCCCTCCTCCCTCCTCCCTCCTCCCCTCCCCCCTCCCCCTCCTCCTCCTCCTCCTCCTCCTCCTCCTCCTCCTCCTCCTCCTCCTCCTCCTCCTCCTCGCAGGCCCCGACGTCGTGACTGTCTGTTCACGGCTTGGCCCCCAGGGGTCTGGACCCCTTCCCGCGGACCGGCAGCTCACCCCGGGTCGTTTCCTGGTGGTCCTGGGGACTGGCGAGGGCCCCGAGGGGTCGGAAATCGCCGAAGACCTCCCGTCGTGGTTGTTCCGTGATGCGATGGGGTCTGGGCCTGGCGGCGCCATCGCGACGTCGCGAAAGGAAGGCACGCCGAGCGAGGCGGCGCGGCCGATCTTTTCCGCGAGGGTCCGCGGCACCGTCGAGCTCCTCCGCCTCGGCGAGCGCGTCGCCAGGAGGCTCTCGCTCCACGATGCTGCCCAACCTCTCCCCGCTCGCCGGGCTCGGCGCGGACGTGGGGGTCACGGTATGGCCGCGGTGGCCCTGCCCCTGCAGCAGACACGTACGATGAGCGATCTTGCTGGAAGAGATCCTGCCCTCTTCGTCTTCGACCGTGCCCCCTTGGGGGTACATCTTCCCTACCCGCCACGCGTAATTTGCGCAGCCCCTACAACAAGGGAAGAGAGGACGGACGAAAGGGGAGGGAGACAAATTCAGCACGAGAGAAGCACTAGGGGGGGCTAGCAGAAGACAGCGCGTGGCAGAACCAGACAAGCTGATCGGGCGGTTAGACCCTGATTAACAAATGGGACGGGAAGGCCTGCCCAGGTGGCCAGGTCTAGCAGGCGGGTTGCTGAAGCGTGAGTCCTGCATGAATCGCGAAGAGGTCTCGACCGATAGCGCGATTCTCAGCTAAATCGCGAGAAAAGTCAGAGCGCGAGCGCGATTCCTGAACGTCGAGGGCGCGGCGTCTGAATACATTGCGAAGAAGTCCCGCACGAGAGTGCGATTCCTGCATCACTTGCGAGGAAGTTCCGCGCGAGAGCGCGATTTTGAAATACAATGTGAGGAAGTACCAGGCGGGAGCCGTTGTTGTTGCAGCTCGGGGGCCAACAACCCATTCTGAGCCCCCATACTTCCTCTTGTAAAGTACAGGGGGCGAGCCCCAGAAGAAGCACTTTAATTAACACAATGGGCACCAGAGAAGGGGGGATCAACAATAATCATTCCAAACATTGAAATTCAACAACGGCTCCCGCTTGATATTTCCTCACCGTCTATTCAGGCCCGTGCTCTCGCGCACGACTTCCCTACAATGTATCCAGGATTCGTACCCTCGCGTTGGGCACCCTCGCAATTTATTCAGACGCCGCGCCCTCGACACTCAGGAATCACGCTATCGTTCTGGACATCCTCACGATTTGCTTGGGAATTGCACTATCGTTAAACAGACTTCATCGCGATTCATGTAATACTGACGCTTCAACGACCCGCGCGCTCGACCCAGCCGTCTGGGCCGCCCGCCCGACACGTCCGTGTGGTTCTGCAACA